TCCATATAAAAAATTCATTGAACATCAGAGTATTTTTCTAAAGTGATAAGTATAGACATTTCTAATAGAAACGTACCTACTTAATGTGGACTTCTTCGCAGTAAAAACGGTGAGTTAATTTTTTTTAATCCAATATCTGCCACCGATTTATAATTGCTCATCTCAACACGGATTTTCATTAGGAAACAAGTTTTGGTCAATCAAAACACGTGCTTTTTAATTATACGAGTGGAACGAATTCTCATCCTATATGAAAACAGGGGATGTTCGAGTATGTTGAAAAATTTGTAATTTGAAATGAATTTTTGTTTTTTAACCCCTTGCTCGTGTATTGAGAGCTACCATTCATAACATGATCGTTGCATAGCATATAAAAGTACCAAAGTACTAAAATTATTGGGTTTCTGTTGCAAAAATTTCATATCCTTGAGAAAACTACATAGCCACATCGAACTTATTGAAAAAATAAAATTGAACAATATTTGCATGCCCTCGGAATAAGTACTTACCTGAAAAACATGAAAACTGACGATAAATTCTCAATCAAATTTCTTCAACGTTCGGAAGTCAATGTTTCATAGTAATTAAAAGGACCAATAATTCGTGTACCAAATATTGCAATCCACATTAAAGCCGAAACGGGGTCTCGCTATTTTGAATAAATGTTCATTTTCTCATAACCAATAATGTGTATTTTTTCTGTGACGGGAAAAAAGTTTGGCATTTCATCTCTGTTGGCAGGTTATAAAATGTCACTTTTCATAAATTACTTTTTTCCCGGATATATATCACATATATATACACTGTTGATGGCTTTGGTTGTGCAATAGTGAGTCAAAAATACCGTCTCCGAGAAAGAACTGCAAGTCCTTTTATCTTCCATTCGACTTCGCGGTAACGTATATTACTAAACAACCACCAAATTCGCAATTTTTTGAAATCAAATCACAGAATTAGACTGACAGAAGTGACATCAGATATTTGATTACTTCAAAAGAATGATAAAGATGCCTCAAAATTTCACGTCGATAATTTTCAGAATTCAAAATAATGTAATATATTCTCAATATTGATTCGTCCTTCCTTCTGTCACAGAAAAAAATAGTGTATTATACACGGGAAAAATATTAGATTTTAGCTCACGGTTTTTTGTCTCCCTCGGCTACGCGTCGGGAGACAACACAACCTGGAGCTAAAATCTACTACTTTTTTCCCTTGTATAATAAATAACTATTTTTCTCTTGAAGATACCATTATTATTGCCCATGTTTTCATCAGTCCAGATGATTTTTCGAGGAAAATTTTGACATGTTGTGAATTTGTATTGATGGAATTTTTGTTTCCGCAAAATGAAATGGGTTGTTGATTGGAACCAGTTGATGAGGTATTAGTGTATTGACTAATTTTCCTAAAAAGTGGAACTGATGGCCTTTTTCCTTTGGAATTTCGAAAAAACATTGATGATAGCTGAAAAATAGGTCAAAACACATTCAAATAAAAAAGCTTTCAGAATCTGTGAAAAAATTATCAGGACCGTATTCAAAAAACGAAAGTTGATGATGATTCTACGAATACGAAACGTCGCATCAAAAAATAAGTATCACCACGTTGAACGTCATCAAAAATTGCTATTAAAAAGTATTTTCAGGTTTTCTGTATCTTTAATAATAACGGAGAAAAAAAAATGAAATAGGTTCTACAAAAATTCACTTTTTTCGATATAACTGAACAGCTAAAAACAATTTTGAAAATTTTCAAATGCTGTTGGTATGAGCCTCCGAATGCGCAACTTTTTCCCCATTCAACCGACTTCTTATCTCCTACCGTTTCCAAGATCCCCATGCTGTGCAACCTTATCTTGGACAAACTGTATATACTTTCTCGAATGAAACACCCTGTTTATTTTTCCACAGCAATTATCGCCATATTTTGGGCAAACTATGCGCCCTTAGCCTATATCCCAATAGTTATGACTCACCCTGTATAAAAGCTAAAAGGAATGATCTTCATAAAAAATATTGAAGTGTTGATCAGTTTTTTTTACTGATATTACGGGCCTTTAAAAAAACGTCAGATTTTTTCTTTTTTTTCAATTAATGAATCAATATACAATATCCATACCTTCGTTTTGTGGAATTCTGTAATTACAGTTTACTTGAGCTTGTTTTTTATCACCTTTATTACCAATTTTCAATATTCATTTACAACCTACCATAAATAGGAATATATTCGTTAGATAACGGTCGATAATACGAAACATATTCTCATATTTGAAAACCGAATGATCTTTTTCAGCTAATAACGCAATTCTTGATGAGCAGAAAATCTAACTTCAGACAAAACCAAAAAAAAAATGAAAATTCGACAGGATTCGATCATTCTCAAAAATCATCAAGTGAAAAAAAAAACGGGTAAAGCCGAAATTGTTTATTGAGCATGGCCCACGTGCCCAAAGACAAAAAAATTCCTTGACTATGACCACAAGTTCCAAGGGAGAGAATCGATTTTGACATCACAGATGAATTCTAGATTTTGTAATTATTCCCTTCTTCTCCTGAGCGATTCAATTGAAGTTTCATTCACACTAAGCTACTTTGCTGCCTAGTTAAACAAATAACTATTTCTCTAAGCGGCAGGGAAAGTGTTTTTTCTCTGACACTAAACAGGCATGAAAGGTATACTTTCTCTGTCTAGGTAAGAAAAGTTTATTGCCATGCAATGTTCCAAGAAATTTTCTTGAAATTGGTAATCAAAATTGACACTGACATTGAGTGAACACAAAATGATGGAGTTGTCAATAAAAAATTACATAAAAATTTAGATTGACTGCCTTGGCTGAATAAACTATCAACCGCAGCAGTCAATCTAGTACCTTCCTGCCTAGTAAAAAAATGACTCTTTCAAGACATTAATGGAAATCTCGTTTTCTTAGCTTGGACAACCTGTATCTCGGAAATGAGGCTTTTTCGGACCCATGTTTATTTGAACTTTTTTTCATATTTTGTTGAGAGAAATCTCCCCTAGGCTTTTGTCACCACTACTCTGAAACACCCTGTATATCCGTTATACAGGGTGTATCTAAATAACACCGAAATTTTATGAAATAAAGTTCATGTAAACATGTGTCCTAACTTGCTTCGTTTTCGAGATACAGGGTATTGATATTTCCATGAAAAATATTTTTCCTATTCATATCTCAATCGCCTCAATTTCAATAAAACGTTGTGGTTTTGTTTATAGTAATATGGAGCTTCTTCTAATGCAATTAGATTCGAAATAATATTTCCAGTGGCGTCACAGTGGGTAAATGTATCGATATTCTTGGTGAATGTCTTTGTACACCACCGGTTTTTCTGAATTTCATATTTTTATTAGATTGAACTGAACTAAAAACCCTAAAATCATTCGTTTTCACATCAAAGATTACATGGGACTGCTTTGAAACACTCATGCAACTGGGAAAGGGCAACAAAGTCACACTTATGCGGGTTCCAGAGCATGAAGGAATCAAAGGAAATGAGGCAGCTGATCGCCTTGCAAAAAAAGGTGCAGCATCTGCACTTTTTGGTCCTGAGCCTTTTTGTGGGATAAGCAAATGTCACCTAAAGGGAGAACTCGGGAAATGGGAAGAAAGTGAAAAGTCCTCCTATACTGGAGAGCAACTCCAGGTCAACGACAAGCGAAAAGGTTCATCAACCATTCGCAGAACCGAGCCAAAGAGCTACTCAGCCTCAGCAAACCAGAGCTAAAGCTTATCACAGGCTTTCTCACAGGACACGGCCCTCTGAGGTACCACCTCAAAAAGATGGGTCTGGCGGAGACTGACACTTGCCGCTTTTGTAACAATGCGACCGAAACCGCGCAGCACATACTTTGCTCATGTGAAGTATTAGTCCGCCAAAGGCTGAACCACCTAGAACAGGTCTATCTCACCCCTGCTGAAGTGGAAAAGTCAACCGTCAGGAAAATCGTAGGCTTCATCAGAAGTCTAGGCAGGGTTAGAGGACCAAAACTAGATAGGGGTAATCACAATAGATCTTCTAGGTCGCAGTGATCGAGAGGTCTCTCAGCCTATACGACCCATCTACAATCTAAAATCTACAGATTGAACTGTTGAAATAACAACTCTTTTATCCTCTGTGTGATTTTTGTATCTCGCTTAGTTTTTGAGGAAACAATAAAAAACCGATTTGACTCCAAATTTTAATGTAGGTGTTTTCAAGACTTCCATTGAGATTACTCAATAACCCCAATTAGAATCATTTTGAAATTTTGGGGCTTTCTCAGTCTCCATCCATACTGGATTTTGGCACCATGAAAGCTATACAGGGGGGGTTATAAATAAAAACAATTAATAGAGAGTTGAAGTGTTGTCATGAACGTTAACGTAAACGTAGAAATTGAGAGCTACGCATGCGCATTTTCCAATTCTTCACGTTTGCGTTGTTAGTGGGCTTACGGGTGTACGTTATCTCACGTTCCTTCACGTATACCTCAAATATCAACGTACGTTAACCAAACGATACTCGAAATATGCCGATGAGTCAAAATTATCAAATTCGAGATCACCAACGAGTTCTGCATCAAGGAGTCCTCTAATTTTGACAGGAATAAATGTTCGAATCCAAACACACAACCAAAAATGACCAATACAAACCGAAAACAAAATGTATTATTACGTTATGATGACAGTGACGACCAAAGTGGCGACTTCAACTCAATTTAACGACAATACGTAAACGTAATTTTTCGTACGTTAACGTCTACGTGGAGCTCTACGTACAGTGATTACTTCAACTCTCTAATACTTCCAACTTCAACTTCCTGTATCTCAAAAACGGGGCAAGTTAGAACACATGTTTATATATGAACTTTATTTGCTAGAATATCACAAGCAAATACCCCTTGAATTTTTCCGGTTAGATACACCCTGATGTATAACGGTCGATACATTACCACACATATATTTGAAAATCGAATGAACACGAACTTTTTTTCAGCGAATAACGCAATTCTTGATGAGCAAGAAATCGAACTTCAGACAAAACCGCAAGAAACGCAAATTCGACAAGATTCGATCATTCTCAAAAATCATCAAGTGAAAAACAAATCGACAAACGCCGAAATTGTTTGTTGAGCGAGCATGGCCCACGTGCCCATAAGCAAAAGAAAGAAATCCCATGAGCACGACATCCACAAGTTCCAAGGGAAAGAGTCGATTCTGACGTCACAGATAAATTTGTACGTCGAAGAAACCAAACCGAAGATTCCTGATGGAGGTTGGGGATGGATGGTGTTATTCGCAGCTTTCATGTTGAATACCATCTCCGAAGGTGTCAGTTTTTCCTTCGGACTGTTATTGATCGAGTTTTTGAAGGAGTTTGGGGCGTCCAAGTCGGCTACATCATGGATTGGAGGTTTATTTCTAGCGATACCTTTACTCGCAGGTTAGTAGTAACTACGTATCACACCATGTTATTATCAGGGGTCATGGTAGATTTATATGCTCAACTTGGCAGGTAGCCACTATAGACTCCTACTACCGCCACCGCCACTTTATTGAGGGTAAGGAATTAACCCTTTTCAGTCTAGACGCGATATTTTGGTACAAAAAGATTGTTTTTCTGCAACCGACACAATGGTCGTCAACTTAAATACCAAAATTAGCTCTTGAATTGACGTTACCATATTACTGAAACAAACATAGGTATGTTGCTAGGCAACACTTTTAGTTCCTTAGGAGCTAAAGATGAACTTTAGCTCCTGGGAACTGAAAAGGTTGTACTAGGTAATCAAGAATAAGGAACATTGTTATATGGTTGGTTATTTGGGTTGGGACGCATACCTGATCTGTTCCCGATTTCGGCAGATTTGGCATATCATACCCATGCTGGAGATATAAATACACCTTATTATAGTCAATTGTTTTTGTTTTCATCAGGAAAGCCTTCAAGATTCACATACTTGTTTGATCTGTATTTCGTTCATTATCGGGATCTACTGGATTGGATAGCTTGTTTTTGAATAATTCCGGATAGCAATACTTTTTGTCTCACACGATATTGTTTAACTTCATTTTATTACCGAGCCAAACATAGTCGAATATGGAGAGAAATAAATAATCGCTATTATTATTATTGATATGCTCACTAACCTGACATTTTCAATTTTTTTTCTATATTCGCACCAGACGGATCATATGTTGCATTGCATACATATGACACACGGCATCCATGTTTCGGGTATAGTATTGAATTTGTGCCTGTAGTATCTAATGTAAAGTAGTTTGAGGTCTTGCTCCTATTAACTTGCCTATATTATTATAATAAAGGTATTATGATAATCTGTCAAGTGAGTCACATTGGTGGTTACTCCACATATTTATTTCAGTTAATTTTTTCGGTTGCAGAAAAATAGCATGTTGCACCCGTATCAAAAGTGACTTTGATTGACTGGCAAATTTTGTTTTTGCTCGGCTTCGCTAGACGCTCCGTCCCGCAAATGCAAAATTCGATAGACAAACAAAGTGTCACTTTTTATTCTAATGAAACAATCTACTATTAATTTATATTTTTGTTATCTCTATACATGCGAACACGATATTTATTAAATAGGTAAGTACGTATACCTGGTGAATAATTCAGAATAAAAAAAGGTTCCAGAATCTGTGAACACATAATCAGTAATTATAGTATACAAGGCAATACTTGTCCACTGTCAGAAGAAAGTTCATTTCCATTTCGGCCATTTTATGTATTGCCTCTATGATGATGAATCAGGTTGATCGATGTGATCAGTAGGTACCAGCAAGTTCCATACTGATAAACTTTATGTTCTTGTAATCTAGAATGTCCATTGAAATCATTCAAATCATTTCTATTTTCGAGAGCAACTTTCATACTCGTGACAAATGATTGATGCTCGTTAAACCATTAGTATTCTGAATGAAAATCTAATAAGTAGGCAAGAAGTCAAATGGTATTATTGTCTATTCATTGGCCCAACATTTGTCATTTGTTAATGGTGTTAAATCACTGATAACTTCGCGAAAACTCTTTTGTTTCAAAAGAATATTTGTCAAAATTAAGTGTCGATTTGATTGTATAATTTCAAGTCAAGGTAGTTGTCGATTTGTTGTTTGTTTGAATTTTGTGTTCCATTTTAGACTTCTACAATAGGTGGAGGTATATGTGAATTTTGATTTCTTCAACAATCCTTTCTCTACGATTACGTGAATTTGAGGCAACATACAATGACTTCCAACAACATCAGGAACCCAGTAAACATTCCAATATTAACATAAAGGAAACATTTTTGAATCTGCCCATGTCATGTGAAATATTTCAGAAATATGTCAATACATACGTTTCATATTCAACAGAATAATTATCTCCTTGAATGGTTTACTTTGGGTAAGAGTTTCTTCTTGAGCTACATAGGAATTATTCATTTCATAATGATGAATTGATAATCCAGAAATGAAGACAATATAGTGAGGTGTATTATTAACAATATAGGAGTAAACAAGCAGTTCTAACCTTCTCATTTTCAGCTTACAATATCATTTCGATTGAATACGGAAGGTAATGTTTTATCACAACACTGATGAGTTTCCAGTTCCTACTCAAATTCTAAAAACATAAATGAATCGAAGATTTCACCATTGCATAAACATTCTGACAAGACTAAAGGTCAATAGCTTACTGCAAATGCGGTCAATAAGGACGATTTTCGCAAATTACTACTACTTATACTATACCTACTAACTAGGTTTTTAATCTGAATCACAATGGTTAAACAAACCACTGAATGATAATCTTCATTGAGAAACAAAACTCCGATAACATGAACCTTCTCCGTACTGTGGTTTCAGGTCCAATCGGCAGCGCCATGGTGGACCGCTACGGTTGCGTCAGCATGACGATCCTAGGCGGCCTAGTCTGCGCCACGGGCTTCGTGCTGAGCGTGTTCGCCGATTCGCTGGCCGTGCTCTACGTCACGTTCGGCGTGGTGGGGGGCATCGGTCGCGGTCTGACCTTCGTCACGGCCGTCGTGTCGCTGGCCTTCTGGTTCGAGAGGCGACGCACGGTGGCGGTGGGACTGGCGGCCAGTGGCGCGGGGTTCGGCACGATCGTGTTCGCGCCGCTGACCACGAGGTTGTTGGAGGGGTACGGGTGGCGGGGCACGATGCTCGTGTTGGCCGGGGGGTTCTTGAATATGTGCGTGTGCGGGGCTGTGATGAGGGATCCCGCTTGGATCGTTCGAGAGTGAGTAGTGATGATGAGTATGCCAATATTTTTTGCACAAATGGAGAAGAAATAGCAGAACATTTTAAACTTCCACAGTAGTTGTATTTTAGTGTTGAACTAAACTATAAAAATTTGCCCCCACTCTGCCACCGACCAAGGCCGGCAAAATTATAAACAATTGATATTTTGCAGAGGAAAAAATGCAGTGTCGCAAAATAATCAAAACAAAGGAAATATAATCCTCTATCATTCCCTATTTTTGCGACCATTTCTAAGTTTGGTATCACAGTAAATAAATTATTCATTCATACTTCTGTTGATCATCCGACAAAAATACAAAATATTGTCAAACTTGAAGAAATGTTCATGTCTATGTCACGAATTTCTCTGAAATTTCACACGTAACATTTTCGACCAATTAAAAGCCTGTATCGTCACCATAGAAATGAAACAAATTTCTGGGAAACTTTTTCGCTCCTTGGGGAAAGAAGCATGAAATTACACTGGAAATTTTTAGACTTGAACCACGAGCCGTGGGCGAGGAGTGATTTGTCATATTGTCACACGAGTATGAAATAATTAGTTTCCGCACGAGTTTTACACTATACTTTCACGACGACCTACCTGATTAACAGATATCTCTCATCCGGAGCAGTATCCATGAATTACTTAATTTGTTGAGGGTTCAAAGTATTTGATTTTTCGGTTCATACCCGACTGATCGACTTTTCAGTACCGCTCTCAATTTCAGGTAATTCCCAATGTTCACATTATGTTTAGCGATCAATGATGTTCTTATCATAGAATAAATTGACCAAAGAGTATTTGGCTCATACTTATTTCCCAATTCTCCAATGTAGGCCAATAAAACTACCTCGGGGAAGCTTTTCGCATTGTTTTTTTACGCCAAATCATACTTTTGTTTTGATTTTTCTGGAAGCAATCCTTTTGTCGTTTCAATTGCTTATTCCTGGATTTCCGGGGTTGTAAAATATAATATTTCATCGTCGGATGAAAATTCCATGTTTTTTTTTTTTCAGAATCAAGAAAACTTTGCACAATTTATAAGTAGATATTCACCTAATGAATAATATGTAATTGAATTAAATTTGAACTAGGTACTATAACAATGTGTAGAAACTGACACTGTGATCAACTGATTTGTAGATTTGTCATTGCTATAGCTGCCTATATAAATTCAGTACAAATCATTAGTGCGAAATACGTATCATGTCGTGCTGTTTTATAGTGCGAAATAATACGTATTTCAAGTAGGTCCTCCGAAAATGCGATTTCAACTGCTTATATAAAATAAATGACCACTATATACAGTGGTGTTTCATGTTTTTTGCATGTTCACCTCATTTTTGATACCACATGCCACAAAACCAAATTTGCATGAATTGTTTAAAACCATTATTAGGTTGAATTACCTATTCGGTGAAAATTCACCAGACATTTCTTCCGAGTAATTTGAACGAACCATGTATAGTCGAATTCGTATGGAAAACTTGATTTTTGGACACAATACTTCAATTCTCAATGAAATTCTGTAGTAACATAAATAATATGGAATTTATATGCTTAAGGTATAATAAAAAAAATGACAAAGAACCTTCACAAATCACACCAACAAATTTTCTCCTTTAGGACCCAAGAGAAAAAATCACTGAAATCAAATAAAGATGACAAGGAAGTGAACAGTACTAACTCCAAGCTGAATGAGATAAAACTGGCATTCGGCAATGGAGAAGACGTACAAGTGCTTCTTCAACGAGTTGATACCAAGCCGGACCTGACAGAAAAAAATAGATTCAGATCTGTTGTCGACCTACCTACTTTTCTGAAGAAAAATGAAACGGTAATTCAATAATTCCACTTGAGTAATTATACTCGAACACACTTTCTATATAATTTCAGGTTCCAGTAGAAGTCCTCAAACAGCTCAGTGAAAACAAAGAATTATACCAAATAGTAATGGAAAACTATCCACATCTTTTAAGTAAATGTACTTCCAATCAAGACCTCCATGTCACAGACATGAGCCATGCAAGAATACCAATGAAATTGTCACTTAAAGTGAAGAAAGCTGATAACGTTATATCAGAAGAAGATGAAAGTACTGAAATTAATCACCATAGCAGTCCTCTACTTCCTCACGATCAAATTCATCACAGTAAAGCCAACATACCATCTCATAGCTACCTGAGCCATCTCAAGCTGAATAGGCCTTCCATAGATGCTAAAAGTGTGCCATGGAAACCTCAAATATTCAACATGAGCATCTCCAGTCCAGATGTTTATAAGAGTACAGTGAAGACGATACCTCAAAATGCTAGTGAAAAGGTACACAGAGCTGCTTTCTAGTTCAAGTTTATTTGTTTTCCGAGACTTTCTCTTAAAATTGTAATAGAAATAATTCTTTTGTAAATGTAAATTTTGACATGTAGTGAAAGTTACGTGACTCCGACAGAGTAGGTCTTTTTTCATCTTTTTTAAGCAAAACTCAAGTCGAATCCCAGAATAAATTATCATTAAAAATGATACTGTATACACTACACTGTTTTACCACTAACCAAACCGATTTTTTAACGCCTCGACACGTGTTTCGCTAACTATGTTAGCATCTTCAGGAGAAGATTAAAACTTAATCTTCTCCTGCAGATGCTAACATAGTTAGCGAAACACGTGTCGAGGCGTTAAAAAATCGGTTTGGTTAGTGGTAAAACAGTGTAGTGTATTATCGTGCCAAAGGTTCCAGTCTTCGATATATGAAACTGTATAGTTGATTTTTTTTTCTTCATTTACTACCTATATTATTTCAGAAATGGTATTCGGAATTTTATCAAACTGTGAAAAGCCTAGTGGACTTCTCGCTATTCTTGGAGTTGCATTTTCTTCTTCTGGCCATATCGACGGTTATACTGTTCGTTTGGTTCATTGTGCCATATTTTTACCTAGCCGAACACATGGTACGGATAGGGTACAGCGAAAATCAAGCAGCCTACTCTTTATCTGCTATTGGCTTCACCAACACAGCCGGAATGGTAAGTTATATGAAATTCATGGTTGTAATCCTGGCAGCACCTCGATGCCCTAGAAGTGTTTCAGAATCATTTCAGAATCCACTATAAGCTGTAGCTAGGTCCCGGTCTTCCCGGCTCTTCCTAACCCTGCACAAGTTTCGACTTCTGGGGAGTTGGTTCCCAACTTCGAAGTAGCGATATACAAATTTTTAATTTTTTTACCTCAGTCGAAAGCACCTCAGTAAAAGGTATTACCAATCAACATAAAAAGGTACTCACATGAAGCCTGCTCATTGCAGTTCATTAGTTTTTTCATGATTTGTATTTTTATTAATCAAATTTTCGCCAAATCCATAATTGATTGAAATAATGTTCTCTCTACTGTTTGATATGAATCTATTAGTGTTTTTTCGTTTTTGTTCTTTTTGGACTTTTGATTATTCTGAACTTTATTACAGCGAGCTTCATTGTTATAGGAATGTGAATTGGGTAGTTAAGTTTCCACTCTTCTTCTTCTATCATAAGGACCTATGGGATTATACACACACTGGCACAATTAGGGGAACGGGTAAAATTAACACTAAGTTTGACATCAATTTTCTCTCGAACCGATCACTCAATTCAAATTTGTTTTTCACGAATTGTAGCTTCATTCTTCACGAATACATCTGTGAAATAACCACCTCCAAACGATTCGTCTTTATATCATATACAGGGGTGTAAAGAAAATACGGATTTTTCGGTATTCTTCAAGACATCCTGTGGAGTGAACCACTGATAATTGAAACGATTTTCCAACAAAATTATAGCCCAATCTATCCCGAATATTTTCGTTTTCTATTCATCTTGATATCCCAATCATCCAAGAAAATATAGAGTTTCAAAGAGGTGGATATTGGTATTAATTTTACCACCTCGAAACTCGAACTGGGGAGAACGTGTCGTTTTTCAACTTGTTTCTGTGAGGATTTTTACTTCAAGATGAGAATTGTTCACAGTTTTACCTATCGGTTTACTGTTTAAAGACACATATACGAATACTCTCATGAATATGCAGGGGTGATAGAAGTTGCTCCAATGTTCTTTTGGTGAAATGCTATTTTTTTTAATCAACGTTGGCTATATTTTGTTAATGTCATTAATTATTGTCAAAGTCAAGCGATTCACAATTCATGAATTTGATTAATGAAAATTCAACGTGAGAGATTTGACTCCTACTGATGTGGCGAGGGCTGTAGCATTAATTGAAAATGACTAGTGGGCCAATGTTCTTCTATTATGAGAACCGCATCTGCACCAATTCAATAGATGGCAGGGTAAGACTATATCGCCGAGGTGAACAAAATGAACAATTCGATTTTACTGCTTCTGTCTCCTATGGCAGAGGTTTAGTCATGGTTAGGTTAGGTTAGTCAAGAAAAAACACATTTTCAGATCCAATTTGAGTTTTGAGGTGTAAAATTGATACCAATATCCACCTTCCCTCTGAAACTCTGTATTTTCTTGAATAATTGAGATATCAAGATGAATGAAAAACGAAAATATTCGGAATAGATTGTGCTCCAATTTGGTGTTGAGAAATCGTTTCAATTATCAGTAGTTCAGTCCACAGGATGTCTAAAAAAATACCGAAAAATCCGTACTTTCTTTACACCCCTGTATATGATGGAAAGACTCATCGTTTGAAGGTAATTATTTTTCAGATGTATTCGTGAAGAATGAAGCTACATTTCGTGAAGAAAAAAATTTGAATCGAGCGATCGGTTCGAAAGAAAATTGTCAAACTTAGTGTAAATTTTGCCCGTTCCCCTAATTGTGCCAGTGTGTGTATGTGAAAAATCACCAGATTTCACAGTTTCATTGAAAATAATCACCAAATCACCAAATTAGCAAAGAAATCAACAACATTCGCAACACTGCAAAGTAACCCCGGTCATAGATTCCCCGGTTTACGTTCAATTCCAGATAATTCTCGGATGGGTTGGTGTACGGCTGAACATAGCTAAGACGTACGCTGTGTGCCTACTCTTGTGCGGTGTCAGCATCGCTTTCATGATGTTCCTCACCGATTCCTACACGATGCTGATGATAAACAGCGCCCTGTTCGGGCTGTTCTTCTCGAGCTGTTTCTCGCTGTTGCCGTCTCTGTTGGCAGAATTGGTGCCGCTGGAGGATTTCACCAATTCCTACGGGCTGATTTTGATGTGCATGGGCGTTGGAAATCTGACTGGACCTCCGCTAGCAGGTAATGAGCTGATGGCCTGCAGTGGCGGCTAATCAGAGGAGGCAACAAAGGCTGAGCCTCCTCAACAATGGGGAAGTTTCCTATATTGAGTTTTTTATTTCACTGTGAAGTTTGTAAAAAATTAATATACCAGGTATAACAGGAATATACAGTGTCATTCATAAAGTCGGCATCATATGGAAAAAACTTTTATTAATGACTTATTCTTAAATTCGTGTTGAACGTCAAGTTTTGCTTCAAAAATGATGAAAAATGGTCTCCTCAATCGAGGTCACGTGACTTTCGATACATGTCAAAAGTGACATTTTTTCAAATTAATCGCTGAAAGTAGGCTTATTTGTTCGAATATCGAAAAAGTTTACTTGAAAAAGTTGTTTCTATTCGAATTGTACATATGTGACTCGGATTTTATCTTTCTATTACATTTTTTAGATTTCGATATTTTTTAAAAATTTTCGAAATTTCTGTTATATTAAAAAAATTGTAAATTCGATAAAACTACTTCATACCAGTAGCTTCATCATGTTACTAACTTTCAATTACTAATTATCACTAATTATCAACAAAAATATGATTTTCTTCAGAAAATGATAATCTCCTCTACAAAATTCTGTTATGTTTGATGCAAACATAACATCAAAATTCTGTTATGTTTGAGTCAAGCAGTTAGGAAGGAAATTCATTTAAATTTATTTGTTCAGTACTGAAAAGATCAGTTTAAATGAATTTCGTTTCTAAATGCTTGACGATATATCAACTTTGCATTTTCTGAAGAAAATCATATTTCTGTCCATAATCAGTGATAATGAGTAATTGAAAGTAAGTAGCATGAAAAAGCTACTGGTATGAAGTAGTTTCGTGGAATTAACAATCCTTCAAATATTACAGAAATTTCCAAAAATTTTAAAAAAAATTTAAATCTAAAAGTAGCAATAGAAAGATCAAATTTGGGAAGCATGTGTAAAATTGAAATAGAAACAACTTTTTCAAGTAAACTTTTTCGATATTCGAACAAATAAGCCTACTTTCAGCGATTAATTTGAAAAAATGTCACTTTTGACATGCAGCGAAAGTTACGTGACCCCGATTAAGTAGGCCATTTTCCATCTTTTTTGAAGCAAAACTAAAAGTCCAACTCGAATTCAAAAATAAGTCAATAATAAAAGTTTTTCCTATATAATGCCGACTTTATGAATGACACTGTATGGTCAGAGGTCACTGATTGGAAATTTGAATGACCCATCAACTTGATAAACGTCAATTTTTTACATGAACATGTTGAATAATATTTTCCTTCCGGTTTCACACGAAGTGGTAATATCAATATTAATATCTTTCGATTTTCAAATGGAACACCCTATATATCATTGCATTTTCAAATTCTACATCATTTTCTGAATCCAATGACACCACACAAATGACATTTCAAACTTCAAAATTGATCTTGATTTAATTTTTGATTTTCCATCTGAGTGTGCCTTGACTATTCTGACCCAGTCTAATGTACTCATATCGACTGGTGTAATGCAAGCAAAAATCAATTCTGTAAAAAATTCAAAGTTTCTTGATTTAGCACCAAATTAAGTTTATCAAAATGGTTTGGTGTATCATGATCCTGTTACACCCGGTATACGTATTTTTCCTTTTTTCCGTAAGATCAAATTTCACTTCTGAAAAAAATGAATAAGAGAGGAACTTGTACTAATAGGACGTTGCCGACACCATCAATATGTCTAGATTTCCGGGAATAGTCCTTTGAATGCATAATAACTTTATCATAACAGCAATGGGATATAATAGGTTCTTCAATCCTACTTTGTTAAGTATAAAGCACAGATCCGACCTGTCCTGGAATACTGTTCCCATATTTGGAGTGCAGCACCCAAACATACCCTTAAACTGTTAGATTTTGTCCAAAAAAGGGCAATTCGTCTCGTGGGTGATGCCTCGCTCACAAACTCACTCACTTCTCTGGAACACAGGAGGAAGTTGGCGATCTGGCTCTATTTTATAGATATTTTCATGGACGATGCTCTTCTGAAATATCAACAATTGTTCCTCCATTGGCAGTCCCCGCGAGATTGACCCGTCGAGTTGAGGCTTCGCACCCCTTCGTGGTCACTTTGGAGACCTGCAGAACGTCTCTTTCCAAAGACTCGTTCATCCAACGAACAGAGATGCTCTGGAACACATTGCCAAGGGAAGCAAGGCCAAGGCATATAACCTCCAGAAATTTAAGAAAAACACCAATTCCTACCTTATTTCCCTTGGTTTTCACGATGTTCTCTGAACATTACAGGATATCCCTCTTCGTGGGAACCAGAACATAAAAAAAATCATGAATAATTCCCATAATCTCTCATTGGCTAAGATCAATAATGCTATTTTGCGATAGTATCTATAATTGTCCACTATCGTTGTATTACAATATGTTATTCATAGCTTGTTAGTCATTTTTTTGCTAATGAATTCGTTCCTCAATAAAACGGATCTATTTTCTAGAAAAGTTGCAGATTACATCTTGCAACAGCGCCTAATACTTCGAGTCCGTCCACACCACTCAAAATACTGACAGCCACAACAAGAGGAAGGAGCCATGGGTGTCGGCTTCATTCTGTTCTGACCGATGGAAGTAAATTAGGAAGGATAGTAGCATTGAATGTAGTCGATAGGATCGAGCTCTATTCGAGATATTTCAATGCATAAATAACAAAACCATAACCTGTCAGAATGAAGCCAACTACACTCTCTATTCCTGCTCCTAGTGCATTTGTGGTTATGAATGTTTTTGTTTCCAGTTTAACTTCTTCTATATTTTTCATGCTTCTTTCATTCGTTAGCTCTTCGTTAGCTATTCGCTAGTTATATTCTTCACCATCAGCTATTTTCAGACTAGATTCAGAATGTACGTCTCAGTTTGCCGCCCCAAAAATTAGAAATTGCTTTAATTTGAAAATGAAAACGACTTGGAGCTTATCGGTCGCCATTCTGTACAGCGAGGACATAAAACTGGAGAGTTCCGAACTTATTTCATGAAAATTCATCGGAAGGAAACTTCCTCATTACCATGCATCAACCGCCATCTTGAACTAGAATCGGTGTAGATATACCTCTACAGGGTGACAAGAGAAAAATGTGGCAATTTCTTTATTAGATAAGAATATATGTAGGTAGGTATATACAAATAATTCAAATTGTTTTTCTTTCAGGTTTCTTATTCGATTGGACTGGTTCTTGGGAACAGTCCTTTTATCAAGCTGCCGTTTGGATTATCGTTTGCGGAGTTCTGGTTGGTATCATTCCATTCACGAAAAACAGAAGAATAATAGGTTCAGGGCCTACGTTGTTAGAGAGAGACAATGACGCAGTAATGAATTATTCGTGATATATGATGTAATAGTTGTATTACAAACATTTTTATATCAATATGTCTTTTACTGCCAGACAGGAAATGATCCTGACCCGAATAGCACACTTGACCTCTTCTATCGATGAAATTCATAAACTGTTGATGTAATTGTTTAGGATTTTATAAAAGTTTGAAATCCAAACCACACATTTTCAAACCATATGACAAGGCAAACAAAAAAAATATCAAGATTCAACGAGGAATCAACCTAATAATATGGGATCGAGAGGTTTAGGGGGTCATTGGTCACTGAAAATATAACAACTTATAACAGTAAATCAATTTACTTGAACCTCAACTCAGCTAAGTTTACATCCTATTCAATATTTAAAATATAATGTACTACTTACATTATATTGATCGTTTCAATAATAATATGAGAAAACAGTTTCAAAGATGTTATAATCCATATGAAGAAGAATTAAGATGAGAATGTTAACAGCTGTTTTCTGAATTCTAATAATTTTCAATATTGCATTATATTAATCACACTATCGTACTTATTATAAGTACCTACAATAAGAAGTGATTAATTTCTATTTGGTGCGTTTACCGGGAGAAAACGTGAAATACAGGGTATCCCATGTGACTCAATAGCCATAACCAAAAGGGTATAGGTATTCCTTGAACAATTTTGATAAGTCGAAAGTCCCTTATAGACTTTTGTCCAAGTTGTCCAGTTGAGGAGCAATATTAATTTTTGAATTGTACATATTTTATTTCAGTTATTGCATTACATTCTTTTCTTCACTGATACATTGAATGATCAGTCAGTAATTCCTGGTGTAAGATCATTCAAGTATTACCTATCGACTGTTGTATAATTGAAATCACAAATAGTGAACAAAACTTACATATCATTTAAATTGGCAGTGTGTGTAATGAAGCAAAGAAATGTTGAATATAAAGTAATGTTATATTTTATCTATTGAGGATGTTTTGATTGCTTACACAAATGTAATTAAGATTTTGTTCAAAATGTCCACCCGCTGCTTCACAACACATTCTTGCTCGTCTGATAGGCGGGTGGTTATTTCTCAAATAGAATCATCACTCAAATAACTGTCAACTTCATATTTTTTTAGAATTTTTCGTTCAATTTCATATGCTTAAGTCAACAATGATGCCACATTTTCAAATGACTGAGAATTTACAGCGAGTAGAAACTGACGTCATGATTTCGTAAATAAGACAGACCATAGCACAGTTGCCATATGTTGAAATACGATCGGGAACTTCAGAAATATTAGTTATTCAATAATTCATAAATTCTCAATTTTGTATATGTTATATTCCTAATTAGACATAAAAAATCAATTGTCTCAAAATATTTCCCTATCTGTTGTGGCTTATCGTGAATGATCAAAGCTGAAAGACTATGAATTTCCTTTTTTTTTCTATTTTTTTTTCTTCGCTGTTTTTTTCCCTTCTTGTTCACTATAATATAAGTTTTGTTCACTATTTGTAATTTCAATTATACAACAGTTGATAATACTTCATGAATGATCTTATACCAGGAATTACTATCTGATTATTCATGCCATTCCTACTAGAAAATTAATAATACTTTATATATTATTTATTTGAAATGTATCAATACCTACCTCCTGTCCCTATCCTATCTAAGAACGCACGATGTTCTCTGAACATTATAGGGATTTCCTTTCGTGCGCTCCAAGCGATAAAAAAAAGAATGTAATGCAATAACTGAAAAAAATAAATAAATGGGTGTGGATTATACAGAGTGGGCCTTTGAAAACGAAACAGAGGCTCTGTAGGTCGCCAAAACCGGATTATCAAAAAAAAACTGAAACAGGTCAACTACATTTTCGAGGGGGACATCTTTCTAAAATATTTTCAGCCCTGCGGCGTTGCCGCTTCTAAAGAAAAGAAGCAACAACTTTGTTATTTCAAATGGAACACCTTGTATTTTATTGCATTCTTAGATTCTCTCCGAAGAGCTGAATTCATCAATGCATCACACTTGGGGTCTAGCTGTAATGGTTTCAGGGATATAAAGTGTTCAAAATCGAGATTTTTCAACTTTAAAATTTTTTTGTGTCGAAACTATTCATCATTGGTCAAAACGGCTCTCATGTCCCTATCTCAACTTGTGATTTACTATCTACTGACATTTATTGGAAACAAATACAGGGTGGTTCAAGATTCAGAATTCTGATCACCCTGTATCTGTTCCAATTAAATGTTAGTAGATATTGAATCACAAGTTGAGATAGGAACATGGGAGTCGTTTTGACCAATAATGATTAGTTTCGACACAAAAAAATGTCAAAGTTGAAAAATCTCGATTTTGAACACTTTATATCCCTGAAACCATTACAGCTAGACCCCAAGTGTGATGCATTGATGAAATCAGATTTTCGGGGAGAATCTAAAAATGCAATAAAATACAAGGTGTTCCATTTGAAATAACAAAGTTGTTGCTTCTTTTCGTTAGCAGCGGCAACGCCGCAGGGCTGAAAATATTGTAGGACGATGTCCCCCTCGAAAATGTAGATGACGTGTTTCAGATTCTTTTCATAATCCGGTTTTGGCGACCTACAGAGCCTCTGTTTCGTTTTCAAAGGCCCACTCTGTATTAATTCACACTAGAGGACATTTGAGAGTAAACGTGTGACAACACAACACGGCGCACGAATTGTGGGCGGTGTTTTGTAAGTTCTCAGCATTTAGCACATTGTTGCCAAGTCTTCAACGTCAACATGTCATCAGTCCACTCGCCCATTATTGAAAACGTTGCTCTCTGAAGAGTATCTGGGTCGTCTCTTATGGATGCAGCTGTAGTCATGATATTTTTAATCAGCCCATCTCTCGTTTGTATTTTACTTGAATACACTAAACTTTACCTCCTCTTGCAATCTACTGGTGTGCAAAGTTATTATTTAATTGCTCATTATTCCTTAACTCTTGAGTTCAAGAAAAAAATGGTATATGGCACTTTCGACTTGAAATTGTTCAAGGAAATGGCGATCGAGTCAGGGGACACCATGTATAAGGATAGTTAGTTTCAAAAGTGTTATAGCATGATCCATCAATAAGAATTGAAGATGAAAATGTTAACAGCTGTTTTCTTAATCCTACCAATTTTAAAAATCTCATTATATGTATTAATCTCACTATTAATTTCTATTGCACTTATTATGATTACCTATTTGAATGGAATAAATTCTACTTAGTGCGTTTATTACCGGGAGAGAACGTGAAATATAATTGGGAAAGTCATATAACATCTCTAATTACTGAAAGAAACATAATATTCATAAATGTTCGCAATTTTAAATCACAGTTGCGCTTCTAGTTGGCAAGTATTAGTGCGGCCACTATTTTTTTTTTCAATATAAAACGAAAATAAAACATGCATGATCCGTGGTGGAAACAACATTCAAAGAATCTATACTGAATTACCTAATCCACTACACTGACATAACATACTATCTATACAGGGTGGAGACGTAAACTGAAGTAAATTCGCTAGCGCCAAAAAAAACATGATGTGGTTGATTTCAGCTACCCCTGGAGAGCTATATTCTTCACGCTTGCAACATGTAGGTAAATAGCTGTTAGTCCTAAATCCGGCTGCAATTTTCGACCGTCATCTGATAACGAAATGATATACCGGGTGCCACAGGAGATATGTAACAGCCTGTAGTTTTTTTATTTGAAGAGAAAAAAAATTGAAATTCACAAGGGTTATATTATGCATGATGGCACTTCCCTTGAACTCAATGACAATTTTCTTCAACCACCTGTTTGATTGGAAGTGGACCCAACTTTCATTTTTCAAAAGGCACCCTGTATATTTCTGTAGCCTATCATATTCACCTCAAAATTCTCTATTCAACGATGTATCAGAATTTGATATTCGTTCATTAATTGGCTGTTAAATTGCATTTTATTGAAATACATGGAGTTGGATGTGGCCTGAATACAATGACATTTCGATGCTTGATCGGCTTAGAAATCCAAAGATCTTTAGTTAGACGATATTATCAGAATATTTTCCATACCCTAATCGGTCCCAGAAGATTGCCGATGATTTCATTGAGTTTGAAAAATCATCCGAAAATAACTCAAGATATTGAGCAAACTGAGATAGAAACTAAGTTTTCTTCATTTGGCTACTTTTGAAGAAACTATTTGTCTTTCATTTTTGCCATGTAGCCATAATATGATCATCTATTTGGATACATGAAACTGAAATTGTTGTAATAATTGATGTATCGTCCTAATACATCTGTTCATTGGTATCGGAAGGCATAATTCTATTCTCGTTATCAAATCGGGAAAACGAGTGCAAATTTACACACAGAAAAGTGCAAGTTTTCAATCATTTTGCTCAGGATAGTGATTGGCACAGAAGCCGTTCGATGAACTACAATGTTTTAACTTTCCTTTAGCACATAATTATATCATTTCGTTATCAGATGACGGTATAGAAATCTACAGCTTCATCATTTACGACATGACCTTTCCGGACACCCTGTATATGACAGGACCTAAAGGCGCATGCTCTATGGGATCCAGTTCAATCTCGTAAATGGATGAGCTTATAATATATACAGGGTGAGTCATTGAAATGGGAAAGTGAGATAACGGCTTCGCTGTTTGAGATAGATGAACAAAAATTTTTGTGAAGGTCTAGGCTCATGAGCAGCACATTGCCGAAATATTTCGCGTTATACAGGGTGACTCAAAAATGCGAGACGTACCTATCAAAGTTATGCTTATACGCCCTGTATTTGATGGTATTTTCGGATTCTCCTTTGTGAGCTTGATTTCATCAATGCATAACACTTGGGGTCTAGCGATAATGATTACAGAGATATAGGGTGTTCAAAATCGAGATTTTTCAACTTTAGGATTTTTAGGGGTCGAAACTATTCATTATTGGTCAAAACGGCTTTGATGTCCCTATCTTAACTTTTGATATACTATCTACTGATATTTAATTTGAACGAATTCTGAATTTCGAACCACCCTGTATTCGTCCA